CCCAACCCCGGGGCAGTCACTCCCTCTCAGCCCCGAGCAGTCACCTTGGCAAAGAAATAGGGGCCGGCAGTGTACAGCCCGTCCTCCAGCTCGTAGTAAAGCATCGCCCTCTCCGAGTGACCTAGGGACGGGGAGCAAAGGACAATGAAAAAGGGAATTAACGCACAGTGTTCACAGTGCTCCTGTTTTGTAGTCTCTCTTCGTGCAATTAAAAATAGCTATATTGAGCCGTAACCGGTTTGGCTCAGTGGATAGAGCGTCGGCCTGCGGACTGAAAGGTCCTGGGTTCGATTCTGGTCAAGGGCTTGTACCTTGGTTGCGGGCACATCTCCAGTGGGGAGTGTGCAGGAGGCAGCTGATCGATGTTTCTCTCTCATTGATGTTTCTAACTCTCTATCTCTCTCCCTTCCTCTCTGTAAAAAATCAATAAAATATAGTTTTTAAAAATAGCTATATTGACTAAATCAGTGGTTCTCAACCTGTGGGTCGCGACCCCTTTTGGTGGTCAAACAACCCTTTCACAGGGGTCGCCTAAGACCATCCTGCCTATCAGATATTTACATTACGATTCATAACAGTAGCAACATTACAGCTATGAAGTAGCAACGAAAATAATTTTATGGTTGGGGGTCACCACAACATGAGGAACTGTATTTAAAGGGCCAGAAGGTTGAGAACCACTGGACTAAATGGTGTGTGTGTTTGTGTGTTTCAAGGCAGAGTAAAACCATCGTGATTTGGAGGTTTGTAATTCTGGGACTTGCACACTGCTGTCAAGTGTGAATCCTGCCAGAAGAGGAATGCCTACGACGCCGTGGTAATTTGCTGGCATTTGCATATTAATATTAATGTGTGAACGTAGAAAACAACTGTCATCTTTTATTTCACAATCATGGTGACATTCAGTAACCCTGTTTCCCCGGGAGCTCAGAGCAACACAGGTCGGCCTTGGACCAGTTCAGGGGGCTCCAGGTGTGGGTCGCGGGGAGCAGGGGACACTCACATTTGGCAATGACATCCAGGACCACGTTGAAAGGGATGAGAGCTCCGATCATGAACAAGAGGGCTGCCGTGTCCATGAAGGAGAGTTTGATGGTCCCATGGCCGTAATAGAGGAATCCGATGACCAGGGACATCAGGCAGGCCTCCGCCCCATGGATGAGGAGGGTTGGTAGGTCTCGGAAGTCGTTGGCAATCTGACGCCTTAAAAACAGCAAAAGAAAGAGGTGCCACCCATCCTATGACCTTGGCCGTGTCATTGGATCTCTGTAAGCCTCGTTCTCATCTGCAAAGTGGGGATCGCCGTGACCACTTCACAGAGTGGCTGTGAGTACCAAGTGATGGCAGATACTCAGTAAACGATTGTGTTGCTTTTATCATCGATCTATCTGGCTGGAGATTTTACTTAAAGAAGCCACCCCAAGGAAATAGCTGATCAGGCGTGTAAAGGGGTGTGTACAAGGATGTTGGCTACCATTACTTGTAATAGCAAAAGCCTAAAATAGTCTGACCATCCATACGGACTCCGAGGGTAACTGGATCGTGGCTGGATTGCAAGATCTGGCCCACGAGGGGCAGAGGAACTATTCTAAGTAACCCTCCCTCCTCACCCCAAAAACACCCTGAAGTGATTACAGAACAAAGAACAATATGCGAATTATAATCCCAGAACAAAGAACAACGTGCAGAGTAAACCCCCACTGATGTGTTTTAAAAGGTTTATGTGCATGGGACCCCTTAGACAGCCTCACAGGTGTGGTTTCCTCCGAGGGTGGGTGAGGGGGCACCTTCCCTTCCCCGGGAGGGTCTCCTGTGCGGTCTGAAGTCTTCACCACGAGCCTGTGTGATTTCTGTGGTCATCTGCCCAGTAAGGACAGATGGGATTTGTTTAAAGAACAAAAGCAGGAATGCTCCTCATCACACGCCAGGGCTGGTGCTGGTCTCGGTGATGCTGCCTTTTTCCCAAAGATTTACCTCTTTACATTCACTTCGACTTCCAGTGGCTCCTTCAAATTCACTTTAAATAGGTCTTAACTGGATACAACAGACTCTCACTGTAGCATAAAGATCAATTATGAATTGTAGTGTCTGAATGCAAACTTTCTAAAAAGAGGCCAGGCGTGTGTGTGTGTGTGTGTGTGTGTGTGTGTGTGTGTGAAATGGCAGACCATTACCGGATCAGCGTGGTAAACTGCTGCACGGGGCCGGGCAGCTGGGTGGGCGTCGAGAGGTGGTCGGGGTCATGTGGGAGGACCAGGCTGTCAAGACCGAGAGTGTGTCAGGGGGACGTGGGGGCGGCCACCTCCTGGAGGGCTCTCCCCACTGAGCCACCCGGCCGCCTCACCTCTTGGAACCAGAGTCCCTGGCCTCCGCTCTCCACAGACAGTCATCGAAGTCACGCACTTTTTCCTGAAACAAGGCTGCAAGGGACCGGGCCTTCTCCCTGGTGGCCACTTCCCGCTCTCCGCTCTGCCTGTCTATGCTGGTCAGGTCCACTGGAAGCAGAGCGTGTGGTCACTGGTGACCCGCCCCTGCACTGCTCACAGGGAGGGTCAGCGCCAGCCCAGCCCACAGCGCCCGCCCGCCCCGGGGCCCGTGTGCTCCTTGCCCTCGGGGAGTGGACATGAAGCGATGGTCAGCACAGAGAGGGACAGAGAGACCCCCAGGGCTGCTCCACCCTGCGGCCCGGCCACATCTACGGAGAGCCTGCCTCCGGGGGGGAGGGGACCACAGGGGGGCCCTGCGGGGGCTGAGCCCAGCCCCACACCCAGGT